GCAGCATCCCATTTTCCATTCCTGCATGAATAATACACATACTGATTCACTCAGGGCAATAACTTTTGGAATTGCAATTAAATATCTCATATTTTATAATTATTGATCAAATATGTTCCTACGTACAGACATCTCAAAGTAAATCTGTCATGATAGAAATGTGGAGACAGATATTGTTGACCTTTCTCTGAATTTGCTAATTGCTTGACTGTTATGCTAACCCCCGTCTTTAATAATTTCTTACTTATTTAGAACAAGAATGCAGTTCAGGAAATTTAAAGAAAAGTCAGAAGTTTTTATCTACATAATTGTTTTCGTTTAAGGGGTGATTTGTTGAAAATTATATTATATTATTATAGCAGGTGATATGTAATGTGCAATAAACAAGTAATAATAATAACACAAAGCAAATATAAAAATCTAGACGTGGAAAGTAAATATCTGCTTAGGTGTACTAGAAGCTTGATTTAAAAGAGAAATAGTTTTCAGCCCTAAATGTTCCCTAAACTTCTCTTTTTAATAGAAACATAAATATATTACCTATCTGGGAACTGCTATATCGCCCCACCTTTCTGATTTATATTCCCTCAACTACGATCCTTTACTTATTAAGTTACACTACGAACTGGATTCCTGGCATTCCCTAAATGTCCTTTGATTTGTCAGATTCAAAACTTTAAAAATGGATGTCCTCCCCAACTATGCTATTTTTTATAAACCTTACTTATTGCTCTCCCTTCTGTTTTGTTCGGTACGTTACGTTCACTTATCAACTAGTTTATTTGTCGAAACAAATTTTCCAGACTTAGATTTAGTGTAATCCTAAAACCTCAAGTGCTGCAGGCCTTCCAGACATTGAGATACTGTGGCACATTTGACTCAATGGTTCTCTCACCAGAACCCTAAGGGTTGGACTGTTTTAGAATGAGACCTGTCCACCCTAGGTCTGTGTGCCTTGTTGTGGGGATTTGCTCATTCTTTTGTGTCTTTTTCAAGCCTCTCTTGTTTACTTCAGCAACCTTGCAAGTATGGTACAAATTAAGGCATTAACATTTGCTTTCATCAAAACCTAGCCCTCTTATGTTTTTGTTTGGCAACATAGACTTTTGCTGGGAGGCTTATTTTCATTTGGCAGCTCTTTGTGACCAAAAGCAGGGCATCTTTATCATCTTTCCTTGGGTCTACCTTTTCTCTCACCATTCTCTCCTCCTACTCTGGTAGAATTGCTCTCACAGCACTAAATTTTCACCTTCTGTAAACAACACCAATCTTCTGGCTTGACCCAGTGCCCTCTTACAGACTTTAAAAAACTGTGCTCTCTCTCTGAAAAGACTAAACACATGCTGTCCACTATTCACAAGATACTACAGCAAATACATGCCAATCACCCTCTTTTCTTTATAAGAGCATGGAACAGGGATTTGGGGCGTGAGGTTACACCTGAAGAATGAATCTTTTATTCTCACACATAAATCATCGTTATACATTAAGGTAAAAAAACATCTGGGTGCTGCTCCCCCCCCCAGGTTCCCCTTATACTTACCTGAGCCCCATCTCAATCCAGTGATGTGCATGAGAGCAGCAGCTCTCCCGCATCTCTCTCTCCTCATTGGCTCACACAGCAGCCAATGAGAGAGTGGAGGGCGAGTGTGTGTGATTGGACAATGTCCATTCACAGGAGCATGGCTCAGGAGCAAGCCTGCTCGAGTGCCCCATAGCAAGAGGCTTACTATTGGGGCACTCGACAAGGTGGAGAAGCCAGGATCACCAGCGGGGGAGCCAAAAAGAAGAGGATCAGGGCTGCATAGGATCAGAAGGTAAGTATAATTTTTTTTTTATTACAAACTTTAGAATCACTTTAATATCTCCTTCTCCTAACATTGCTTTACCATCCATTTTACCTCTCTCCATTGTTTCAACTATGAGAGTGCTCAATTTACTAAATAATGTGTACACTTTAACACACTAGTAACGAGATTTCTAGGTGGTAATGGAAATACTGGTTTGTTTACATGGTTCAAGTTATTGTTTCTTACATTGCTCTGCACTCATTCTTTTTATTGAGATAAATATTTTTTATGGACCTTGAATTCTCAGTCCTTTCTTATGTTGTTTTGTACTGTACCTGTTGTACAACCTTTCATAAAATGACAATAAAATATATTCAACACTAAAAGAGAAATACTTTTCTGTATTTTTTAGGTCTGCACTTGGAAATAAAATCCATCTGAGACTTCATTCCAGAAAGTAAAATATCTTTTACAAACACTCACATTTGCACAACAATGTCCAGAAAAGCAAAAAACTGTAATGTAACAGGATCATGGCAGATTACCAACAAGACTATACCTAATAATCTGGAATGTGGAGGCAGAGTTCAGACATCAGTGTTATGGGCAGAAATAGGGACAAAACAAAATAGGAAGTACATGGGGACCTAACCCTTCACTGGCCAGTGGTTCCTTAGCAGTGGGGCCCAAGGTCCTGTTTGGTGTACTCACCCTTTCCCTTTAGGTAAGACTACTTGTAATCTTACAAGGCTTAGTAAAACATTTCCAACAAATGGCTAGAGACCTCTCACAAGGCCAACTGGGTGCCCTAAGTCTCCCGATAGTCCTGCGTTGGCCGTCAAAAGGGTCCTCACTCTTGAGCCAGCTATTTGAGGAAGCCATCTCAGCAACACTATTGCTCCTCCCTTTGATCAGTAAGTTTGGAGCCACAGAACTACACAACATTTACTTGAACCACACATCTGTTGATGTTCAGGTGGGCATGCTTTGTAGTCTTATGTAACACCATGTATCACTAACATTTACTGGATACACCTGCAGAAAACTCTAGACCAGTGTTTGATAAGCCCCAAGAGCTGGAGCTGCAATGTATGCACATAGTGTTCAATGCCCTTCCAATGCATAGACACAGATCCAGGAATTGTCCCTATTTTTATACTAACCACTTTAAAAAGTGTCTGCATTATATCACCGTCTATTGGAATATGTCACCACATATGACTGATCATATGCATTGCAGGCACTAAATGATGACAGGTGATATAGCCCTACATACACACACACACACACACAATATATAAATATATTTACTCGCATGGTGACATAGCAAGGAGAAAAATGTGGCTACACCCTAAAAATATCCCACACCAGCTGTGGCTGGTATTTTATTGCCAGAAAGGTGGCAACCCTGCTGTGTCTCCATTTGGTAGATTTCCTCTCACTTCCTGATACAGCAGGAAGTGGGGTGAAATATTTTGCAGTAGGGACACAGATTGTATCAACACCTCTTTCACTTATCACCTGGCTTCCAGATCCACAAATGGCTCATAGACCATGATTCTGATTTTATTTGCTGCATACTTGTTTCAGGTCAATGTCTGTAAATAATAGGGTCAATGGGCCAGCGAGTCAACCAAGCAACTAGCATTTCCAGGAGTAAGTCAATAATGACAGCTAAGTATTTCTATATGCATAGGTTTCCTCTAACAGGTCTATAGAACTTGTCTCTTAGTTGCATAGTATAATGGGCCTTATACATGAAAGTGTTAGAGAATTGTCCCAAATAGTGTGCCTTGACCCACAGAAACCATTAAGGCTCCACATTTAACTCTTCAGTTTCCATTAAATTTGGGAAGCTGATTGGTCTCTATGAGGCAAAATCGTGCATCTGTTTTTCTCCCCTTACAATTTGATATATATGACCAGGTTTATAAACATGACACTAAGATGATATATGTAGCTCCCTTTTTAAGTCTTTAATCTGCAGTAGTAAGCTTCTAGCGCCTAGGCTGATTCCATTCTAGAAAAATTTAAAAGAAAGGAACTACAAAAAAAACTGCAATATTGGGTTTAGAGACATTGTGCTTCAACAGCTGCCCGAAATTTTTTTCAGATATGATGACACGTTTCAGAAAAATCTATCATTCCCGGTTATGCATAATTTTCAACCCTTACAAATTTGTAGAGAAAAAGAATTCCAATATTTTCTCCCTTTCTGTTGACATTGATAATTGCATTTTCTAAGAAGATGCTAACTTTTTTAGGTAATAGATTTCCCAATACACTTTAGGTTTTCTGATTCTCTTGAAATAAACACTTATTTACAAAAAGAAGAAAAAAATCCTCAATAAAGGAAATTCTTAATGAACTTGCCTGATGTGCGTGCTTTAATGAATAATACAGTTAGTGTAGATGGAAATGAATGTGGACAGATGAAATGTTTCTTTTTCCCTACAAAAGCTTATTCATCACAAGTCTAAGAATAGAGCATGTTTATATAATTGCAGATCATCCACTGATGACCCTCGTGGGAGGCCCTTCTCGGATTTGTCATGTGAAATAATTAAATGTGAACTGATTGTTCCCCAGTGATTAAACACACCAGATATTCTGATGAATCTGTTTACAACCATAGCATTAAAGAAAAGCTCCTGTGTCTAAATTTGGTGCCTTGGCTACTTTAAGAAGTATTTTTGTTCAAATTGTAAAATCATATATTGATTTCCAAAATCTTCATGAGTTATTTCTAGCCAACTTCTTTTAATCTGAACAATCTTGAAGTTTGTAAACTTACTTTGTGAAGATCTCTACAAATTTACTTCCTTGAATTCTGTTACACTCACTATGCCCTGTGAGTAGGCACTGATGTGTCATTTCTTTCACAGAGCCTGCCTTTTGAATCACAGAGGTGCTGAGAAGAGGAGTTTCAGGAGGCGAAGTCAGTACAGGAATCACTGCTTATAGGCAGCAACGTACCATGGGATATGTAGTCCTTATAAATTGAAAGTAAACAGTAGAGGAGAAGCTGCAAAGCATTCAGGGAATCCAAGAAATTGTGGAAAAAGAGGGCCAGCAGACAGAGAGCACTCACAATATGAAAGGAGATAAGTAAGCTTATTTTGGATTGTCCAAAATTATTATTATATATTGTTTGTATTGGTATTAAAATGCTGTACCCATAGAAATCTTTTAACCCTTTCACTGCCACCAAAGCTTGCCATACATCCGCAGCAACAGGGGGTTTTGCACACCGTTGCTGCTATAGCAGCTAGGAAAATTTGCAAACCTGACAAGCCAATTGTCAGCTGTAAGCAGGGGCGGACTGACCATTTGGAAGCCGGGGGTCAGTAGGGGGCCCCATGAAATGCCCCTGGTACCTTTTTCATAGGCTTTTTTGAGTTTGGGCAAGGACACAGGGGCCCCATGATCCCCTATTGCCCGGGGGCCTCATGAGTTGTCAGTCCGCCCCTGGAGGTAAGTTATACACAAGGACGGATTTCCCAATAGACACTGTAGGCATGTGTTTCACAGGCGCATTTCCAGAGGGATGCCCGCCTGTATGGGTTTTTTTGATCTCTCTATATACAGAATGATCTTGATAAAACAGAGCACAGGCTGTAGAATGGGGATATCACAATTCTCAGACAAGGATCAGTCTGTAGAAGATTCCTCTATATACACACAGAGGATGCGGTCCGCGGGAAGAGGACAGTAGATCAGCGGTATGTAATGAAGTGGGATCTTCTCTGGTAATGGGACCTGGGATGTCCCAGTTCCTGGTCTCTATGCATGGGGTGCAGGAAGCAGATCCATCGCAGTGCAGGTCGGTTCAGTGTATTAGGGACTTACATCTGTGTTAGGGGGTATCCGGTGCTTACAGCCCTACACCCCAAGGACTGGGTTCCTCTGCATTTAGTACTGGATCCCTGCCACATACCGCCCAATAATCCCTCCAAGACAGTGGCAATGAACCATTCACATCCCCCACACACTGCCTGATATTCTCCAAGGACCGGGCCAAAATGGGACTGGTGGGGTGTCCAGTCTGAGCTGTGTGCAATCTCCTCCTCCCCACTAGTTCTAGCCGGCTCCTCTCCCTACACATGGGCCAGATGGAGCAGGGAGCTGCAGAGGAGGCAGGATGGGATTGGGGATGGATGGAGCTGGGATGGGATCGGGGACAGGGAAGTAGACATTTTTTTTTTCTGGGGGGTTCAGCTTGCAGCTGAGCTGCATTTTTAATGCTCCCCCCACCAACTTCTCTCCTTTGAGCTCTAAAGGCAGCTGACGGGGGCAACAGCTATAAATGCTTTTGCACTCAGTGGGCAGGCAATAGCACCCGTCAAATGTGTCACAATGTTTCACAATGTGGTTGTGGTGCAGGTTTTTAGGGGTTAAACAGGCGGTGAAGAGGCAACATTAACCACTTCTTGCTCGGCCTATAGTCAAATGATGGCTGGGCGAGACATTCACCGCTTTGGGTGGACGTCATATGACCAGGCACAGTGGATGACTGATCAGTGTACCGGCCGCTGCCGATACCATGTGATCGCTGTGACCAATCACAGCAAATCCCATGACAATTATACACAATGGATGGCATGAATGAATGCCATCCATTGTGTACTATCTTGTCGATATCTGTAATTGGTAACAGCAATCACATGGTACAGACAGTGCCAATCACAACTAGCCACAATAGTAAACATTGAATGAATCAATTTCATTCAGTAAAAATGGTTTCCTATAACCGTGATATTCACTGGTATAAGCAATTGTGTATAAAAAGAAAAAATCCTGACCACTTCCCCAGAGTAGTACAATGTCATTATGGTAACATTATATTGCTCTGGCCACAGTGTGTTAAAAAAAATTCACAGCCTTTGCTCAATACTTTGTTGAATCACCTTTAGCACCAATTGCAGTCTCAAGTCGTTTTGAGTGTGATGCTACAAGCTTGGCACGCCAATTTTTGGGCAATTTCCTCCATTCTTCTTTGCAATACCTCTCAAGCTCCATCAGGTTGGATGGGGAGCGTTCGTGCAAAGCCATTTTAAGATCTCTCCAGAGATGTTCAATCGGGTTCAAGTCTGAGCACTAGGTTATTGTTTGTAGAATGTTGAGGAAAAAAATGAATTTAACCTCCCTAGTAGTCTGATTATGTCAATATTTCTGTGCTCAAAGCGGTCCATTTTTTTGCATGGAAATATGTCATTTTTTTTTTATAGTAGGCCTGTAATTTTTAGGAATAACTCACTGAAATCTGTCCGAACAAGAGTCTAGTAAACATCCCGGGTATGATAAAATTTGAAACACGAAATCATAAATTATAATTTAATAAATAATCATAAAAAATAATAATATAATAATAATAAATTGAATTCAATAATGTAATCAAACCAAAAACACTGAAATTTGAATAGAGCGCCAAGTTCGCACATCACCGAGCTTAGTCGCAAAATCGTTTTCAGTGTCTCATGACGATTTTCCCCACGAATCACTATCGCTCAAATCTGCCAGTGGTTCTAATTTACTATTGCTGTTCTCTAGCTGGTTAAAGCTTTTGACATAAAGGGATGCTTTTTGGACGCCATGGACTTTTCTCAGTTTCCAGGCAGAAAGAACAGTAAAAATGCAGGCAGGGCGCAGGACAAAGCACTAGGGACAAAATGTATGTGAAATGGTTTGATACAGTAATGTTTTACTATGTGATTTTAGTGTATTGAGTGAATGTCACTTTTAAAATTTTTTAATTTCCTGCCGGTTCTGTCCCCCGTACGTCCCATATGTCCCGATGCTCGCAGGGAACGGAAGACGGATGCCAGCATTGGCCGGAGGAGATGGCCGGGGATGCTGCAGTGGGGACATCGCGGGAGCAAAGGACAAGGTAAGTGCAAGAAGGATCCTGGAGCAACACTGCAGGGTAATCCCAAGTGTAGCTCGGGGTTACCGCTTTTGGTACTGAAAGTTTACCCCGAGCTACACTCGGGAATACCGCCAGGGGGGTTAATCCATTTTTAAATAAGGCTGTAACATAGCAAAATGTGGCAAGTTAAGCGCTGTGAATACTTTTTGGATGCACTGTATGTAAAAACAAAAATTGTGAAAAAAAAAAATTAAAAAAAATTTCTTAATTGTCCAAATATTTGTGACAAAAAAAATTACAACTTCAAAAAACTTGCTATGCCTCTTACTAATTACCTCAGACTGTCTACTTTCCAAAAAGAGGTCATTGGGGGGTATTTGTGCTGTCCTGACAGGAGTTATTTGTTATTTTTGGGGGGGGGGGTGGTATTTGTCTTGTCATACCGTTTGGGTTTATTTGTACTTTCCTGACATTTGGGGGGGGGATTTGTACTGTCCTGGCATTTGGTGGGGATTTGTACTGTCTTGTTGTTTTCGGACCTGAAGAAATGAGATCAGCTGTCAGTACATTATTATTAGTATTATTATTATTATACAGGATTTATATAGTACCAAAAGTTTGCTCAGCGCTTTACAATATAACAGAAGACAATGCAGCAACAATACAGTTCAATACAAGAGGGATAGGAGGGCCCTGCTCCTTGGAGCTTAGCTTAAAATCTAGTACATCAGCAATGATTGATTTTCAGATATATACCATAGTTTGTGGACTGTAACATTCCTACAAAGCAAACAATATACGGGGTTATTTTCTGTAGCAGAATACAGTTTGACCTAAATTTATGAAGAGATTATTTATTTGCAAAATTTTATAACAGATACAAAGAAAAATGTGGGTTTTTTTCGGGGTTTTTTTTTAGCAAAAAATAAAATGGTAGTGATTAAATACCACCAAAAGAAAGCTCCACATGTGTGAAAAAAGGATAGAAATCTCATATGGGTGCAGTGTTGCATGACCGTGCAAATGTCCAACTCCTTAGCTCCTGCAAAAAATTGGGGGGGGGGTGAGACTAGGAACCATAGACGCAAGGGGGAAAAGAGGGGGGTGTGGGTAGGAGATGGGGGCATGGGTAGAGAAGAAATGGAGTGAAACTAGGAGATCCTGGTCTGTATCGGGATAAAAAAGGGGGGGGGGGATTTGTGTTAGCATGAGGGGAGGAGGAGGAGAGGAAAAAATAGATGGGAATCAAGGGGACTGGAGAGGGATGGTCAGGGAAGGGCATGGGGAATACTGTCAGCTGGTAAGGAGTAGTGTAAGGGATTTCCGATAAGAAGAATTGCGAATAGAAATGCGCATGCGCATAGGAACGTCCGGAGAAGAGTGGACGGTTGTGCGCATGCATGCGGAAATGCGTGATCACGCACGGCGAAGATTGGGGCCAGACGGGCTATTTAAAGAGTGCCTCTGCCTATGTTAGGTGCTGACTGGTCTTCAGCTCCCCCGTGTCCTGCTTGTTCCTGTGTGATTCCTTTGTTGCTGACCTGGCTTATTCCTCTCCTGACTCTGATTGCTCTCCTGATTGATACTGGTTCCTGACTTTGGCTCTGCTCCTGACCTTGGCTTTCCTTCTGATTCTGTACCGTGCTGCCTGACTGTTGATGACCCTGGCTATTCCTATGACACTGCTCCTGTCTCTTACCCTGACTGCCTGCCTTGCTCTGGTGCACGCCTGGCGATCTACAAAACCTGCTCTGCCTGTTACTACTGTGCCTGAATCCGAAGATCATCTGTCTTCCAAGGTCATCATCTGCAAGAGCTGCAACCAGAACTACTGGCGCTCTTATCCCCCTGGTCCCTAGACTCCCTCTGTTCCAACTCCAGTGGGGTCAGGGCTAGTGACACAAGTGAGGCCGACCTCATCATTTCAGTCTCCCATCAAGTACGTGACAAGTAGCCACAGTATGATAAAAGCAGGGTGGGAGCAGGGGTGGAATGAAGGAAGGAAGGGAGAAATGGAAAGGAAGGAACAAAGGAAGGGAAGGGTGGGTGGAAGGAATGAAGGGAGAGATGAAAGGAGAGGTTGGAAGGGAGGAAGCGTGGAAGGAAGGGGGAGGTGGAAGGAAGAAAGGGAGGGGTGGTAGGAAGGAAGGGGAGGATGGAAGGAAGGAAGGAAGAGGGGTGGAGGAATGGAAGGAAGGGAGGGGTGGGTGGAAGGAGGGAAAGGGTGGGTGAAAGGAAGGGAGGGGTGGGTGGAAGGAAGGGTTGGAAGATATGGTGAGTGGAAGGAAGGGAGGGGTGGGTGGAAGGAAGGAAGGGAGGGGGGGTGGGTGGAAGGAAGGGAGGGGTGGGTGGAAGGAAGGGAGAGGTGGGTGGAAGGAAGAAAGGGAGGCATGAGAGGAAGGAAGTACAAAGAGAATAGCAGGCGCATAATGTAGCAGTCCATGTATATGTTGAATAAATGGATGTTCCAATGGGAAAGTGTAAACTGTGTGACAAATTTTAATAAAAGGTAAGCTTAACAACTGACATCTTCAAACAGTAAATTATGCTTATAGGGGGTACCAGGGGCAGACTGACAACTCATGGGGCCCCCGGGCAAGAGGGGATCATGGGGCCCCTGTGTCCTTGCCCAAACTCAAAAAAGCCTATGAAAAAGGTACCAGGGGCATCTCTAGGGCCCCCTACTGACCCTGGGCCCTCGGGCAGTGCCCGAGTTTCCAAATGGTCAGTCCGCCCCTGGGGGGTACCTCTGTAGCCAGATGTAAAGACTGTTCCGGGGAAGAGGAACCCTGGTCGGTCAGCAGGAGGCACTGCAGCAAGTAAGGCAAGGATGGTGAAGCCTCATGTGAGTGGAAGGAAGGTAGGTCAGACTCACATGCTCAGTCAGATGCATCAGAGCTGTCAGTTGCTGTGTTTCAATATCACTAGAGCAATAATAGAATTGTTATTAGATGTAGAATGCATTACTTACAATTAAAGTGGCTGTAAGCCCAATGTCTAACAGATATCAAACACTCACATCTCCTTACAGTTTGTAGAATGAACATGATAAGCACATCAATTGTTCTTCAGTCCTGTTTCAGCCCGCTGAATATCTCCCGGTCTGTGGGCGTGTACACTGCCCGGAGCTCAGGAGGCAAAGTCAATGATGTCACTAGACTCTCCTCATAGCTGTACACACCCCTGGCATTCTGCCTAGTGCAGTTTAGCAGTGTGCACATTGGCTGGTCACTTTCAATGCCTGACAAATCTGTTGGATGGTAGTGCTACAGATCCAGCGGAGCGGAGAGCAAGTGATAGTGCTGAGGCTGCGGCTCCGTGCTGAGGCTGCGGCTGCATGAGACATTCCCCCTTCACTCATGATCATGCATGAGTCTCCTGATTAAATCTGTCAAGGAGAGGGGGATTGGTAATACCTTTTTAACTTAGGTGTCGGAATTTTTTACTGTAGAAGAGAGGAGAGGATTACAGATGACAGGATGCTCTTTTCCCGGCCAAACTGAGGACAGTAAAGTTCTGCTATACTGCTGAGTTAGATGCAGTGTTCACTTTCATTTAGATTTTTTGGTTTTGCAACCACTTTAACTCTAAACTGATGTCCTGTAGGGGCTTTAAAAGCTGCACCTATGGAAAATGTAGGGTACCGACTTTTGTCACCATTTTACGGGTGCACAAAATTTAAAAGTGGTTCTAAAAGCTTAAGGGTTTTTTTTACCTTATTGCATTCACTGATTTAGACCAAAAACCCTCTATGAACCAGATTCCCCCCAGCTCCCCCTCAATACTTATCTGAGTCCAATCTAGATCCAGAGATGTGCCTGAGAACAGCACCTCTCTCCACTCTCTCTCTCCTCACAGAACAGATTGGCAGCAGCTGGAGTCATGGGCTCCTGCTGCTGTAAATCAAGTCCTGTGATGAGAGAGCAGGGGGTGGGGCTGAGCCTTGCTGTCTGTGTCTATGGACACAGGCAGCGTGACCCAAGATTGAGTCAAAATTGGTACCTGTGTTTGTGTAGCCTAAAATAATTTTAGTGTATTTTTTTACTGAAATGTTGTACTTGATGACCCTTTGAGCGAATATCATGTAGTGTAAAAATCTGGCCGTAATTGGGCAATGATGTCACTACTGTCCCTGCTCCTTCCCTTATGTAGCTCATGACAGGTTGGGAAGCTGTTATTCAGCTGTGTGTACTGTCAACATCAGTAATGTGCGCTGAGTTGTCTGTTTTGGTTTTTTTTTTTTGACAAGGCAGTGAATTATGGGCACAATGATTGATGAAGGATTTACAGGAAAGGACATTTTTGGGGATTTTATTTTTTTAACAAAAAAGACTTGTTAGATATTTTGGGCTCCTTATTTCAAGGGAACACTTTTTTATTTTGCTAGTCTCCATATTGGAGCACATATAGCAGTGGATAAATTAAGGGCAGAACATCCAAGAAACCAATTATAAAATACACTCACTGGTGTTGCACCCCCACACACTTCCATGCCATCTTCCCTGCCATGTCAGACTATCCTAAATACAAGGGAAACTGTCTTCCTGTATACTTGGGAGTAGCAGCTGGCCCTACTCTGTATCATGAGTGCTGATAGTGTATTAGCCTTCTCTGAGGAATTTGAGGGGTGCTATCATTTATTGTTACACACCTATCAGAAAGGGAATAAATGATGCCCTCTTCCTTAGCAGCCCTACACTATATAAAGTGACCATGGGAATTGGTGATAATGTTCAGGGCTTTTTTTCTGTGCTGGAAGTTGGTGGAAACTAGTTCCGCCACCTCTGGCTCAGGCCCCTTGCTCCCTGCTCATCACTATCACTTGTAAACATAGAAGTCTGGCTTCAGTATTTACAAGTGATATTTTTGCAGTGCATTCATGGGTTGGAGAGGTCATGTGGTTGGCTGCACCTACTACGATCTCCTTATTTTTTTTTCCTGGTGCCCAGATGCCCCCACTGGATGATCTCCCCGCAAGTGATAGAGGTGGAGCCACCTACAGCAGGGCCAGGACAAGGGTTGGGTAGGAGGGGTGGCTGCCTGAGCACTGAGATTGGGGGGCACCACAAGGAAGTTGGAGGGAGGGGATTTGTGTTGAGAGGGTGAATTGGGGGGGGGGGGTGGCAGGAGGTAATAATTGTTCTAGGCAGTGAAATTTCGGGAGATGTGCTAGGCATAGTGATTTGAGGGGATTTGTGTTGGGAGGGGGATGGGAGAAAAGGACTTGTGCTAGGAGGGGGGATTTGGGGTGTGTGTGTGTGCTAGAAAAGGTACTATGATAGAGGGGGGAGGGGCTTTGTGCTAGGAGGGGAACATTTTTTGGGGGGTGTGCTTGTAGGGATGAGTATTTGTGCTAGGTGGGGAAGTTTTGGGGGCAGGGAATTTGTGCTAGGACCAAGGAGAGGAAATTGTGGTGGTATGGGGGATTTGAAGTGGGGGGGGGGAGGATTTGTGCTTAGAGGGGAAATGTGAGGGACAGCAAATTTGTGCTAGGAAGTGGAAATGTTTTTGGGGGGATTTGAGATGGGGGCATATGGGGGGAGAGAAGATATGAGATGGGGGGGAGATTTGTGCTGGGAGGGGGGATTTCAGCACGGGCATGGATTTGTACTGGGAGTAGGGGGAATATATGCTTCGGGGAAAGCATGTAGATTGGTGCTCAATTCTCTTTTTTGGAGGGTAGAGGATTTTTGTTGATACATAATGGACATACACCTTGCTGGGGGCGCAATTTGGCACATTTGCCCTGGGCTCTAGTTGACCTTGTCCTGACAGTGACCTATAGAGCAGAGGTGCTTCAGCCTAATACGGCAACAAAAGTAAGATATGTGGAAGATGGTGGCGCTTTTAAGGAGCAGGGGAAAAGAGGAGGGCAGTGTAAGGGTGGGGGGGGGGGATTATGTGCAAAGGTCAGAGCTGAAGAGGGGCAAAAGTGAGATGTCAATGGGGGATGCAGAGGTAAGCAGCAATGGAAGAGGGCTGCACTCTGCGTGTATCACACCCCTGAACTCTGCACTGTGTATATAGTACACACCTCAAGTCTGCATACTGTATGAAGTGCACCCCTGAGCTCTGCACACTATATGTAGTGTACCTTTGAACTCTGTTCATAGCACTCACTACTGAACTACTGAACTCTGCATTCTGTGTGTAACACACACCTGAATTCTGCACTCAGGATGTAATGCACTCCTGCTATTTAATGTCCCTTTAAGACCCTCCCACTCTTAGTGAAATTTGACCACACCTACTATTTTTCATTTTTGGGGGGGGGCATGGTTGAGTTTCTGCACCTGTTCTCTGAGAAAAAAGCCCTGAATATGTATAACACCACATCCCAATTTATTGACAAGTTTCTATTCCACAAGTACAAAAGGTGGGTGATGGGACTCTTTAGGTGTATTTTTATTAAAGAAATTAATCACAGACCACTTAAAATGTAATTATTTTATTGATACAAAATCATAAAATTGAGCATTAAAAAAAATCACATATATAAAACACATGCTACATACATCCCCTTCTAGGATCCATTATTGGCCCATCCATAGTATAGCATATAACTTTCAGACAGGGGGCACATTGTCCTAAAGCCACCCAGAACATCAAAATGGAGTGCACAAAGCATAAATATACACTACACATATAAAGAGGTATTGACTATGGATAAGGCCTTTCTCAATGTGTTTCACTTGTTGCTACCTTAGGAGTGGGGTACACGAGTGATAAAAGTGGCTCATCGACACATAGGAAACCCACTCAAACCAAAAAGTACACCAGGGTCACCAGCAAGGCAGAAATCACATGCGCAAACATTGACCCTTAAGAATATACTGTATGTGTTTCTCCAGCAAATAAAAAGATATATTGATAGTAGCCCAAATCAATTGGGTCTAAAGTATTAAAAATATCCTACATACAGTCCCTCCTGTAGAGATATAGATATGGCCACAGATGCATATCTTAATGTTTCTTGGTCTGCATATATCCCTGTGAAACAACCAGCTCTACACTATATCCAGTCAGGCTCTTCTCCAGGAAAAGTTGAAATATCAATCTCTCAGAATGAGACAAAAGAATCCTCCCATAGTGTAGTATATTTATTATACCATAGGAACATGTAACAAGTGTAAATAAGAACTCACGTAGCAGCCAGTCCACATTAAAGCCTCATGCTTTCAGATGAGGATATGTCTGTTGGGTGTACAGCTGAATGCACAGGTGTACCAAGATGGATTCATAGATCTATATACACCCAGAAACCTGCACGATTTTTTTCACTCGTGGTCACTAACAGTATAATTTGGAAGCACCGTTTACTGTTTTTCACTTACAATATTCTATTTTTGGACTTTGAGATATAAGTTTGCGTGTATCAATATTTTGGTCATTCTTTTTCACTTCACAACAGGCACGTGTGTTTTAAGTATATATATATATGTGTTTGTATTTATGCACATACGTATGGATATAGTTTTTTTGTGTTTCTATATTATTTTTAAGTGATTTAATTGATTTTGATAGTATTAGTAAGCACCTATAGATTAATATTGTAATATTGTCACACCTTTTGATTTAATATTTTGGGATCCCACATTCACAAATTGATTTGAATGTAGCGCAGCATTCCTTATGTTTTATATTCACTTGATCACTGGTATATGATTTAATGCTAGCAGCTCCCTTTGGGATACATACACCTATTTATTCATTTGGTTTAATATCATTTTTAAACATACACTTGAAGCGCAGGAGGGTCACACCACTATTACTATACCCAGTGCCACCATGCTGTGAACCAAAAGTGATAAAAACAGCAGCATTATTCAGCAACACTTCATTTTAGGCATAGTAAAAAAATTTTTAAAAAACTGTTCAAAATACGTTAGTAGCTCCTTTTAAAAATCTGAAAAAAATTATATTTGTTGGCAATTTTTCTCACAGCTTCTTTTACTTCTGTATTTCTCAAACTGTAAATGAGTGGATTGATAGTGGGTATTACTACTGCATAGAACACGGAGATGATTTTATCATTAACATGCAGATAGTCTGATGGAGTCCTAAGATATGCACAAATCAGAGAACCATAAAATATACATACACAAGTCAGATGAGAGGCACATGTTGAGAAAGCTTTACTTCTGCCTGAATGAATGCTCAAAATAGCAATCAGGATATTGATATAGGAGTACAGGATGGTTGACATGCAGATGGCAGCTGTAAATCCCCCAAAAATAAAAATAAATACCCTATTAAGAAATGTATTAGAACATGTTAGTTTAAACAGTGGTGGGATATCACAGTAGAAATGGTCAATTACATTGCCTTTCCAGTATTTTAATGCAAATGTAAAACCTATGTGGATGGCCGAGTTGAGAAAACCCTGCAAAATAGGCTCCACCTACCAGGAGCTTACACAATCTGCTGGACATAATAGTAACATACAGCAAAGGTCGACGTATTGCCACAAATCTGTCATAAGCCATTGCAGCCAATAGATAACTCTCTGTGGTCGCTGAACCTCCGAAGAACAATAACTGTGTGGCACATCCAGCAATAGTTACAGATTTTATATTTCTGGTTAGGTTTACCAGTGTGTTTGGAGTTATAATGGATGTACAGAAAAGATCGAGCAATGCCAGTTGGCTGACAAAGAAGTACATTGGAGTGTGGAGTACAGATTCTAGTTGAATAGTGGCAATAATACTCACATTTCCTAGAATGGCAATAACATAAATAATCAGAAACACTAGAAAGAGTGGAATCTTGAGGTCGGGATTGTCAGTCAATCCTGTGAAAATGAATTCTGTGTCTATAGTGTGTATGCTGCAATTATTCATTGGTACAGCTGTGGGGAAAATAGGTAACACATAAGAATGACCTGGCATAAAAATTTTCCTTGGTAGAGTAAATTTGAAAAAAAATTAGTTTCTATAGCACATTCAACATACTACTAGATATGGCATGAAAACAATAAATGATAGCCCCAATAATGCTTTAAAGGGTAAGTTCATCCTTTACCAAAAAACTGTCTGTGCTGGTAAGGGATGTCTGTACATAAAAACAAATTTGACCAAACTTGAATAATGCCCTTGGTATAGGTGTAGGCCCTTTACATAGCTTCTTAAGCCTGACTGAAATACTTCTAGGACATTGCTAAAGATGTTGTTAAGAGAAGCCTAGTGTTACTGCTCACCTTCACCATCACAGGAGCGAGCTCTCAAAGGCTGAGCTACTGCATCATAGGAGTGAAAGCGCAAGAGATTGAGCTTGAATAAAAGAAAGAGCTCGCTCCTGTGATATGCAGGTGAACAGAAACATTAGGCTTTTCTTAGCAACAATCTTAGCAACATCATTCATCTATCACATCAACTTTTTCATCTGTCCTCTGAGTTGGGGGTAGGCAAACTATTGACTGCGATCTAAGGTAGATAGTCATCAGGTACAAAATAGATCTCAAAGTTGCACAATTTTTAAGGAAGATAGAAGATACAGAGACTGGTGGTGGAATGGTGAGAGAAGATGAGTGAAAACAGCACAGCAATATTACAGCCTCCTTTCACAAAACAGAAAATACCTGGGGCTTTTGGAGCAATTGTAACGGGGAGAAACACATGAAGTTGGATTCCATCACATGTAGTCATACTGCATTCTCTGATTGGGAGCAGCTAGGTCCTCTTTAACATTGTTGTCCAAGGCAGGTGTGAAAACTACATCCATTGTACTGGAAAATGCTAATTATCTAGAAATCTAAATGTTAAACACATGTTAACTGAACATACAGTGCTGACATATGTATCAAAATCTACTCATATTTGTAGTTCTTGTACGCATGATAAATAACAGAAAACTAGTAAAAATATTTCAGAAATGAAAATTGAAAATGTATTCATGACATCTCTAAAAAACAAATTGCCAAATTACATAGTTACATACACTATATTGACAAAAGTATTGGGACACTCCTCCAAATAATTAGATTCAGGTATTCAAAGTTCAAGTCAAGTCAAGCACCTAGGCATGTACACTGCTTCTACAAACATTTATAAAAAAATGAGTCGTTCTCAGGAGCTCAGTGAATTCAAGCATGGTATCGTGATAGGATGCCACCTGTGCAATAAGTCCAACGTGAAATTTCCTTGCTACTAAATATTCCACGGTCAACTGTTAGTGATATTATAACAAAGTGGAAGCAACTGGCAACAACAGCCATGAAGTGGTAGGCCACGTAAAATGACAGAGCGGGGTCAGTGCATGCTGAAGCGCACAGTGTGCAGAAGTCGCCAACTGTCTGCAGAGTAAACAGCTAAAGACCTCCAAACTTCGTGTGGCCTTCAGATTAGGACAACAACAGTGCATAGAGAGATTCATGGAATGAGTTTCCATGGCTGAGCAGCTGCATCTAAGCCTTACACCACCAAGTGCAATGCAAAGCGTCAGATGCAGTGGTGTAAAGCACACCGCCACTGGACTCAGCAATTTAGACATGTTCTCTGGAGTGACGAATCACGCTTCTCTGTTTGGCAATCCATTAGATGTGTCTGGGTTAGGCAGTTGCCAGGAGAATGTTACTTGCCTGACCGCATTGTGCCAAGTGTAAAGATTTGTGGAGGGGGGATTATGGTGTGGGGCTGTCTTTCAGTGGTTGGGCTTGGCCCCTTAGTTCCAGTGCATGGAACTCTTAAGATGTCAGCATACCAAGACATTTTGGAAAATTTCCAACTTTGTGGAAACTGTTTGGGCATGGCCCCTTCTTGTCTCAACATGACTGTGCACCAGTACACAAAGCAAGGTCAATAAAGACATGGATGAGCAAGTTTGGGGTGGAGGAAATTGACTGGCCTGCACAGAGTCCTAAACTCAACGCGATGGAACACCTTTGGGATGAATTAGAGTGGAGACTGCGAGCCAGACCTTCTCGTCTGACATCAGTGTCTGACCTCACAAATGTGCTTCTGGAAGAATGGTCAAACATTCCCATAGACACACTCCTAAACCTTGTGGATGGCCTTCCCAGAAGAGTGAAGCTGTTATAGCTGCAAAGGGTGGGCCAACTCAATATTGAACCCTATGAACTAAGACTGGGAAAACAAGTCCAAGTGCATGTAAAGGCCGGCGTCCCAAGACGTTTAGCAATATACTGTAGTTATTAATGTTGATTAAAGACACCAGTTCATCCAGTTCATCCTGTGTGTGTGTGTGTGTGTGTGTGTTTGTGTGTGTGTTTATTATGGCACTACCAATTTCAAAATAATTTCAAATTGGTGGGGATTCTCACTGGATTACCTTTACACAGGCTATCGGGAGGATCTATCAGTCCATCATGAATGCTGCTGCCAGGCTCATCCACCTTACCAGCCGTTCAGTGTCTGCTATTCCTCTCTGTTTATCCCTCTGCTGGCTTCCACGCACCCAGTATATTAAATTAAAAATACTAAAAACAACTTACAAAGGCATCCACAACCTGGCTCCAAGCTACATCACTAACCTAGTCTCAAAATACCAACATAATCATTGCCTTTGTTTCTCCCAAGACCTCCTGCTCTCTAGCTCCCTCATCACCTCCCCCCCATACTCACCTCCAGGACTTTTCCCGAGGATACCCCAGCCTATGGAACTCCTTACCTTAATCCATCCGACTATATCCTACTCTATTTGCTTTTAGACGATTCCTGAAAAGCCTTCTCTTAAAGTGTTACTAAACCCAAAACCCTGCATTCAAAAAATCTGATCGCCCACAGTACACAGAACATGGAAGTGCAATTATTTTAGTAAATATAAACTGCTAAATACCTTTTCTCATCAACAGTTAGAGCAGTCTTGTGACTTTTATCAGTGTCCAGCAGAGCACATGTTAAAGTGTGTAGGAGGAGTTTTTATTCTGCTCTAGGATGCAGAACCCCTGACCTCTGTCTGGACAGTGCTAAATGGCCCTGTGCTGATCACATGCACTCTCCCAAGAAAAAAAAGAAAACATCTCTAGTAATACATGCCAAACTGAGCTTGTGCAGAGTTACTCCACACAATATGTCTTATCAGGTGATAAGAGGCTGACACTGGAAGAAGGGGAGGATCAGAGAAATCAGGATAAAACAGCCTTTTTACACAATGCAGAGGATTAACCCTTCAGGTTCAACAGTGAGTATAACAAGCATGCTTTACTGCATATACAGAATGATTTTACTGGTGTGGGTTTAGTAACACTTTAAGAGAAGCCTATGCTGCCCCCCACCTAACAACTGTACTTTTATTTTCTCCATCAGCTATTATCTTTTGTATCACTTGACCCTCCCTCTTAGGTTGTAAGCTCTAAAGAGCAGGGCTCTCTGATTCCTCCTGTATTAAATTGTATTGTAACTGTACTGTCTGCCCTCATGTTGTAAAGCACTGTGCAAACTGTTGGCGTTATATACATCTTGTATAATAATAATAATAATAATAATTGTAGCTCTTTCTTTGCTGCTGCCATTAAGTTCTTAAAAACACCATTCATAGCAATAATCATTAGATATGAGATCCTTGAGATTTCCGCTTTTTTTTTAACTTTACATTTTTACATTTTCATTTTAAAATTATTTTAAAAGGCTTTTAAAAAATTTTAATTATTTTTAAAATTCAAAAAATTCTTTAAATAATTTACTTTTAAATATATGTTGACAAAATAAATGCAGTTAAATGCCTTGATTTATATTTCTTTTTTTAGTTCTTTATTTTGTCCCTTATTTTATTTTTTGTATTTGTTATGCCAAGCCTGCAGTCATAAAAATATATTTACACCTGCCCCTTGGGACTTCCTGTGTAAGAAAATCAATGCCGTCTTTGTACACCCTGTATGCAGTGGCATCATTTTCATCTTGAATGCTTGCTTCTGTGTTAGAGAAGACAATATCCTGTCATTATAAGTGCTGGTAGTCCAGCACCTCCAACAGCTCCCTTCATACCATCCAACAAAGACCACAAGCTACTACAAAGACCAAGGCTGCCATAAGAGCACCTTTTTTAGGCATAATCCTTTTTAAACTGTTCAAAAATTTCTGGACAGAT